CACCTACAACTTCAACATCAGCAGTTCTTCTTGATGATGGTAATTTAGTTTTGAGATATGATTCAAGTTCAATTTCAATCACATCACTTTGGCAAAGCTTCGATCATCCAACCAATACTTTCTTGCCTGGTGGCAAGTTTGGATACAACAAGCGAACAAACACAAAGCAGATTATCACTTCATGGAAAAGTACAGAAGATCCTTCAATGGGTCCCTTTTCTTTAGAGGTTGACCAAGATGAGAAACAGTATGTGATTAAATGGAATAGAAGTGTAGAGTATTGGGCTAGTGGATCTTGGAATGGTAGAATCTTTAGCTCTGTACCCGAAATGAGATTGAATTATATCTATAACTTCAGCTACGTTGACAATGAAAATGAGAGTTATTTTACATATTCTTTATATAATCCATCGTATATTTCAAGATTGATTATGGATGTCTCTGGGCAGATTCAACAGCAGACATACTTGGAAAGTCTCGACCAATGGAATCTGTTTTGGACTCAACCTAGATCACAGTGTCAGGTGTATGCTTTTTGTGGACCTTTTGGGACTTGTAGTCAAAATGAATTACCTTTTTGTAGTTGCTTGACTGCTTTTGTGCCTAAATCACTGAATGATTGGAATCTGAGTGATTTCTCTGGTGGGTGTGTGAGAAGAACAGAATTCAATTGTGGAATTAAGGAAGAAAAACCTGCATTCATTGAAGGTTATGTCCCAGTCAGTTATCTTTCCACATTTCTTGAAACTGAAACTCCGGAATCTGAAACTCCAGAATCGGAATTGGATGAGTCCGCATGCAGAAGATCTTGCTTGGATGACTGCAGTTGTGATGCGTATAGTTTTATCTTGAAAATATGTCGACTTTGGAACAGTGAAAAACTGAGTAATATATCACTTCTATTTGTTTCCGATGATGCTAATAGTAGGACATTTCCTGTCAACATTAAAGTTTCTTCATCAGATCTTCCGAACAGTAGTACAAAAATCAAGACCAAAGTGCTAGTAGCAGGTAATTTTTAGCTGGTTTAATCTTAATCTCCCATTTTATTGTCCTTTTAACCCATGTAATGTATACAATCTTTCTTTTCAATCACAGGAATCGTTTCAGGGTTTTGCGGTCTTGTGTTTCTTTGCAGCATTGGCATTGTATTCTACAGAAGGGTGAAAAGACAAGGTATAAATGTTTTGCTTGTTTCCTTTTTAAATAAAAGGATATTTGGTCTTCTTTATTTAATGTTAATTAGTGTATGTGACTTAATCAGGAAGCAGAGATAATGGGGAAAATTTTGAACGTGAGTTTCAAGAAAGTGGAAGAAATGTTAGATATTTGGTAGATCCAGGGATATTGAGTGCAGAAGATAGAAAAGGAATTGATGTCCCTTTCATTGAATTCAAAACCATTTTATCTGCCACGGACTATTTTTCTTTAGCAAATAAACTTGGACAAGGGGGATTTGGGCCTGTTTACAAGGTAACAAGTCTTGAATTTAGCTTTATTAGCAAACTATACTCATATCATATTGTCAAATTGTACTTTTTCTTGTATGTCTTTTATATAGGGTGTTTGAGTGAAAGTCTAGATCTTCAATAGACACATAGTTTGAAACTTGATGTCGGGTTATAAAGTAATCAGGGAGCCAAAGACCTTTTTGTTGATCCCATATTTTTCTTCTATATCTTCCATAGAACATAGTACCATATTTATAAAAGGTACTAGAAGCTATTTTGGAAAACTATTGTGTTGTCTACAATTGTATTTGATCTTTGATTGAAGGAATGGACTCCTAAATCTGAGACTTTAATTGTTGGACTTAGGCGTGTTCAACATGGAGCATTTGAAAGCTTTTTGCTTTTCGTTTTTAAGAAAAACCTGAAAAAATATTATAAAATAAAAACGTTTAGTTCCACGGTAAGAGTGAAAACTTTTATTTAAACAAAAAACGCATAATCCAAAAGCTAATTCAAGTAGTTTTTCGGAGTATTTAGCTTTTGTGTTTTATCTAATTTTACATTTTTAAAAGGTAACTACTATTTTTGCCGAACACTTTTGCACAAATAAAAGATACAGCATTCAACTACTTTTGCCAAATACGCCTTTATTACAACACTATTGGTCCAATAATACATAAACTAGATGAATCTTATAAATCCAAATCAATATCTTGTAATTGTATGCAACTTTTATAGGAATCGAGAATAATGTTTGATGTTTAAATTGGGAAAGGGTTGCTCTCACTGCACAAAGGAAATTAATTATGAATAAAATAGATTTTGGGGATTAATCATATGTTGTTGGTAATTATTTTAGGGAGTACTTCCTGGATTAGGTGAAGTAGCAGTGAAAAGGTTGGCGAGCCAATCTGGACAAGGGCTCAAGGAATTCAGAAATGAAGTGTTGTTAATTGGGAAACTTCAACATCGTAATCTTGTTAGGCTCTTAGGTTACAGTATGAAGGATCATGAAATGATACTACTCTATGAATACATGCATAATAAAAGCTTGGACCGTTTCATCTTTGGTTAGTTTCACATAATTCTCAATTTCTTTTTCCATTTTGTGAACAACTTTAACTCTGAAATCTAAAATCCCGGGATTTGATGGGATTTTTGGCAGACAGGACGCTTTCTGTGTGTCTTGATTGGGATTTACGGTTTGATATCATCATGGGAATTGCCCGAGGACTTTTGTATCTTCACCAAGATTCACGGTTGAGGATTATTCATAGAGATTTGAAAGCAAGCAATGTGTTATTAGATGAAGATATGAATCCCAAGATTTCAGACTTTGGCTTGGCAAAGATAGTTAAAGGCCGAGAAACCGAAGATAATACCACTAGAGTTGTTGGAACCTAGTAAGTACTAATCTAAATCCTATGTTCAAATCTAATAACAAATTTTATGTAATTCTACGTAGTGTTTTTCGTATGATGGAATCGGAGAAGGAATGAAAATAATGTTCATTTTGTATGATGGAATGAAAAGAATAAACCATTATTGTAGGAATGAAATTCGTCCAATTCTTTAATTTTCATTTCTTAACCATTCTTTTTCCATTCGATCATAGAATGGAATTAAATTTGTATATAACCCATTTGATTAAGCAATTTCTAATAACACAAATAGTTTGTCTAAAAGAATTTAATGATTTTGATTCAATATTGTTTGTTTAGATAACCAAAAAACAATTATTATAATGTTATTTGGGTTTTGATGAGTTTTTATTATACAGTGGTTATATGTCTCCCGAATACGCGCTAGATGGATTTTTCTCGGTAAAATCCGATGTTTTTAGCTTTGGGGTAGTAATACTTGAGATTATAAGTGGGAAAAGAAACACGGGTTATTATCATAATCAACAAGCCTTTAGCCTTATATCCTATGTGAGTTTTCTTAAACCCTCATCTTGTTTCAATATTTCATTTTCTTTTTAAAACTAATTCTGGATACATTTCAGGCATGGGGTTTGTGGAAATCGAAAAAGCCATTGGAATTAGTGGATTTGGCATTAGTGGAAACATGCAGTTCCATTGAAGTGTTGAGATGTATAATTGTTGGGCTTTTGTGCATACAAGAAGACCCTAAAGATCGACCAACAATGGTAAATGTGGTTTTAATGTTGGGGATGGATATTGAGAGCCTCCCAGACCCAAAAGAACCGGCTTTTGTTTCAAAAAGAAGTATCGATCGGTTGCCATCGTCTTCGAGTAAATCAGAGATTAATCAATTGACCATTACTCAAGAAGAAGGCCGATAGAAAAAGTGGAATCTTTTTCGTTTTTTGATTTATATAATAAAAAAACATATTCAAATTCAAACTAAAAATATCTAATGTAAATGAGAATTGGATTTAATTATATATAATATAACCCTCAAAGCTTACCATAATAGATTATAATGGCATCATGACCTGCAAAGAACGTCTTTAAGTTTTATACAATTCACATTTCACCTTCACCCTTTTCCAACTACATGTATCGAATTTCCATCTACATGATGCGCATAACAAGGTTTTCTTGCATAGAATAAGATTAGTTGCTAAATATGATACTCTTCCAATGTTTGATTTCGTATCTGCAAAGAAACCCCCTGGCATAGATGAGTTGCTACAGCCTACAGCTTGACCAATCATATATTGTACTACAATGCATAGTAAGACAAATAATCACCGACTTAGATTAAAAAAAATACCTTGAAAGTCTGGAAATTTCTCTCAAATCACCAGATCACAAATGTTAGGAATAGAGTTGATGGGGTAATGGAATGATTCACTACATTCCATGATCATGCTTGATTAGCCTTTAGGCTCAATTATCAAAATCACCTCAAACCCAAAGGAGGCAGCAGGGTAGGAATGGTGGTGGCGTTCTGTTGCAGGAAGCGTTTACCTTTTTGATGCAAAACGCTATTCTTGAACCACTTCCTTTGTTTTCAGCATCCCTAATCAAGTCTGCCATTTCCTATGACTTCAAATAAATTCCATTCTCATCCATCATCACCATCCAATCATGTGGTTTGATGAAATTTATGGAACAACAACCTATTTTTAACAATTTTGAAACCACAATCACTATCTATGTAACGTTTTCCAAATATATCATGAAAGTGCCAATTTTTGGAAGCTACAGGGGCCATTTATGAAATTTTGTCCTAAAAAAAATAAATTCTAAAATATTTTTTTTTAAACATATAAAAAAGTTGGAAAAAAAGGCATAAAAATGTACTTATAAAAGATATTGAAATCGACAAATGTGTAATGATGAAATGATGGTGTTAAATCAATGTGGAAAAATGTAAAGGTTTAGTTTTGACGTAGAAGACTGGGTCAACGAAATAAAATGTGGAGACTGAAATTGACAATTCTATTGTTGAATTTTCGGTGATTAGTAGTTGATATATTTTTCTTACCTGGTTATGTTTTTTGAATGGTTGTCAAAGTGTGGTGTTCATAATTTGTGGGAATTAAAATATCAAGAAGCTGATCATCATATTATAATCAGCATGATTGTAAAAGCTTCTGATCATTTCTTTATCTTTTTCTTTTTGTATTTGTTTTCCATTCCTTCTCTCTCATCAGGAACTAATGCTTATAATATTTTAGCTGTGAATCAATCTCTCACTGGGAACCAGACCCTTGTCTCTCCTGCAGAAAATTTTGAATTGGGTTTCTTTAAACCAGGTCAGTCTCCCAACTATTACATAGGAATTTGGTACATGAAAGTCAAAACAAGAACCATAGTCTGGGTAGCAAATAGAGAGACACCCATCTCCGATGCATTCTCTTCTAAATTACAAATTCTCAATGGTAACTTAGTGCTCTTAAACGAGTCAAACACCCAAATTTGGTCTACAAATATAACCCCTACACCTACACCCACACCCACACCTTCTGCATTATCAGTAGTTCTTCTTGATGATGGTAATTTAGTTTTGAGATATAATTCAAGTTCAAGTTCAAGTTCAATCACACCAATTTGGCAAAGTTTCGATCATCCAACCAATACTTTCTTGCCTGGTGGCAAGTTGGGATACAACAAGCGTACAAACACAAAGCAGATTATCACTTCATGGAAAAGTACAGAAGATCCTTCAATGGGTCCCTTTTCTTTAGAGGTTGACCAAGATGAGAAACAGTATGTGATTAAATGGAATAAAAGTGAACAGTATTGGGCTAGTGGATCTTGGAATGGTAGAATCTTTAGCTCTGTACCCTAAATGGGATTGAATTATATCTATAACTTCAGCTACGTTGACAATGAAAACGAGAGTTATTTTACATATTCTTTATATAATGACTCACTTATTTCTAGATTCTTCATGGACGTCTCTGGGCAGATTCAACAGCAGACATACTTGGAAAGTCTGGAACAGTGGAATCTATTTTGGACCCAACCAAGATCACAATGTCAGATATATGCTTTTTGTGGGCCATTTGGTATTTGTAGTCAAGCGGGATTACCTTTCTGTAGTTGCTTGACTGCTTTTGTGCCTAAATCACTGAATGATTGGAATCTGAGTGATTTCTCTGGTGGGTGTGTCAGAAGAACGGAATTCAATTGTGGAATTAAGGAAGAAAAACCTGCATTCATTGAAGGTTATGTCCCAGTCAGTTATCTTTCCACATTTCTTGAAACTGAAACTCCGGAATCTGAAACTCCAGAATCGGAATTGGATGAGTCCGCATGCAGAAGATCTTGCTTGGATGACTGCAGTTGTGATGCGTATAGTTTTATCTTGAAAATATGTCGACTTTGGAACAGTGAAAAACTGAGTAATATATCACTTCTGTTTGTTTCTGGTGATGCTAATAGTAGGACATTTCCTGTCAACATTAAAGTTTCTTCATCAGATCTTCCGAACAGTAGTACAAAAATCAAGACCAAAGTGCTAGTAGCAGGTAATTTTAAGCTGGTTTAATCTTAATGTCCCATTTTATTGTCATTTTTACCCATGTAATGTATACAATCTTTCTTTTCAATCACAGGAATCGTTTCAGGGTTTTGTGGTCTTGTGTTTCTTTGCAGCATTGGCATTGTATTCTACAGAAGGATGAAAACAAAAGGTATAAATGCTTTGCTTCTTTCCTTTTTAAATAAAAGGATATTTGGTCTTCTTTATTTAATGTTAATTAGTGTATGTGACTTAATCAGGAAGCAGAGATAATGGGGAAAATTTTGAACGTGAGTTTCAAGAAAATGGAAGAAATGTTAGATATTTAGTTGATCCAGGGATATTGAGTGCAGAAGATAGAAAAGGAATTGATGTGCCTTTCATTGAATTCAAAACCATTTTATCTGCTACCGACTATTTTTCTTTAGCAAATAAACTTGGACAAGGGGAATTTGGGCCTGTTTACAAGGTAACAAGTCTTGAATTTAGCTTTATGAGCAACTATACTCATATCATGTTGTCAAATTGTACTTTTTCTTGTATGTCTTTTATATAGGGTGTTCGAGTGAAAGTCAAGATCTTCATTAGACACATAGTTTGAAACTTGATGTGGGGTTACAAAGTAAACAGGGAGCCAAAGACCTTTTTGTTGATCCCATATTTTTCTTCTATATCTTCCATAGAACATAGTACCATATTTATAAAAGGTACTAGAAGCTATTTTGGAAAGCTATTGTGTTGTCTACAATCGTATTTGATCTTTGATTGAAGGAAGGGATTCCTAAATCTGAGACTTTAATTGTTGGACTTAGGCGTGTTCGACATTGAGCTTCTGAAAGCTTTTAGTTTTTAGTTTTTAATTAAAAACTGAAAAAAATAATAAATAAAAAAGTTAAGTTCCACAGTAATCCAAAAGTTAATTCAAGTAGTTTTCGGAGCATTTAGATTTTGTGTTTCATCTAATTTTACATTTTTAAAAGGTAACTACTATTTTTGCCTAACACTTTTGCACAAATAAAAGATACAACATTCAACTAGTTTTGCCAAACACACATTTATTCCAACACAACTGGTACCAATAATACATAAACTAAATGAATCTTATAAATCCAAATCAATATCTTGTAATTGTTTGCAACTTTTATGGGAATCGAGAATAATGTTTGACGTTTAAATTGGTAAAAGGTTGCTCTCACTGAACAAGGGAAATTAATTATGAATAAAATAGATTTTGGGGATTAATCATATGTTGTTGGTAATTATTTTAGGGAATACTTCCTGGATTAGGTGAAGTAGCAGTGAAAAGGTTGGCAAGCCAATCTGGACAAGGGCTCAAGGAGTTCCAAAATGAAGTGTTGTTAATTGGGAAACTTCAACATCGTAATCTTGTTAGGCTCTTAGGTTACAGCATGAAGGATCATGAAATGATACTGCTCTATGAATACATGCATAATAAAAGCTTGGACCGTTTCATCTTTGGTTAGTTCACATAATTCTCAATTTCTTTTTCCATTTTGTGAACAACTTTAACTCTGAAATCTAAAATCTCGGGGTTTGATGGGATTTTTGGCAGATAGGACGCTTTCTATGTGTCTTGGTTGGGATTTACGGTTTGATATCATCATGGGGATTGCTCGAGGACTTTTGTATCTTCACCAAGATTCACGGTTAAGGATTATTCATAGAGATTTGAAAGCAAGCAATGTGTTATTAGATGAAGATATGAATCCCAAGATTTCGGAATTTGGCTTGGCAAGGATAGTTAAAGGCCGAGAAACCGAAGATAATACAACTAGAGTTGTTGGAACCTAGTAAGTACTAATCTAAATCCTATGTTCAAATCTAATAACAAATTTTATGTAATTCTAGGTAGTGTTTGTGGTATGATGGAATCGGAGAAGGAATGAAAATAATGTTCATTTTGTATAATGGAATGGAAAGAATAAGCCATTCCTGTAGGAATGAAATTCGTCCAATTCTTTAATTTTCATTTCTTAACAATTCTTTTTCCATTCGATCATAGAATGGAATAAAATCTGTATATAACCCATTTGATTAAGAAATTTCTAATAGCACAAATAGTTTTTGTAAAAGAATTTAATGATTTTGATTCAATATTGTTTGTTTAGATAACCAAAAAACAATTATTATAATGTTATTTGGGTTTTGATGAGTTTTTATTATACAGTGGTTATATGTCTCCCGAATACGCGCTAGACGGATTTTTCTCGGTAAAATCCGATGTTTTTAGCTTTGGGGTAGTAATACTTGAGATTATAAGTGGGAAAAGAAACACGGGTTATTATCATAATCAACAAGCCTTTAGCCTTATATCCTATGTGAGTTTTCTTAAACCCTCATCTTGTTTCAATATTTCATTTTCTTTTTAAAACTAATTTTGGATACATTTCAGGCATGGGGTTTGTGGAAATCGAAAAGGCCATTGGAATTAGTGGATCTGGCATTAGTGGAAACATGCAATTCCATTGAAGTGTTGAGATGTATGATTGTTGGGCTTTTGTGCATACAAGAAGACCCTAAAGATCGACCAACAATGGTGAATGTGGTTTTAATGTTGGGTATGGATATTGAGAGCCTCCCGAACCCAAAAGAACCTGCTTTTGTGTCAAAAAGAAGTATCGATCGGTTGCCATTGACTTCAAGTAAATCGGAGATTAATCAATTGACCATTACTCAAGAAGAAGGCCGATAGAAAAAGTGGAATCTTTTTCATTTTTTGTTTTATAAAATAAAAAACATATTCAAATTCAAACTAAAAAAAATTGATGTAAATAAGAGCTGGATTTAATTATATATAATAGCACCCTCAAAGTTTACCATAGAAAAAACAATTTCAAAACGAAAGGAGCATCACAATAGATTAAATGGCTTCATGACCTTCAAAGAACATCTTTAATCTTTATACGATTCAACCTATTTACATTTACAATGCTCGTCTCCAACAACATGTATCGAATTTCCTAAAAAAGGGCAAAGTATTATGTTAAACATGATGCGTATGAGAAGGTTTTCTTGCATAGAATAAGATTAGTAGCTAGATATGATACTCCTCCAATCTTGGATTTCGTATCTGAAAAGAAACCCCCCTGCATAGATGAGTTGCTACAGCCTACAGCTTGACCAATCTTATATTGTACTACAATGCATAGTAAGACAAATAATCAGACATAGATTAAAAAGATACCTTGAAAGTCTAGAAATTTCTTTGAAATCACTTGATCACAAATGTTAGGAACAGAGTTAATGGGGTAATGGAATGATTCACTACATTCCATGATCATGCTTGATTAGCCTTTAGGCTCAATTATCAAAATCACCTCAAACCCAAAGGAGGTAGCAGGGTAGGTATGGTGGTGGCATTCTGCTGCAAGAAGCGTTTTCCCTTTTGATGCAAAACGTTATTCTTGAACCACTTCCTTTGTTTTCAGCATCCCTAATCAAGTCTGCCATTTCCTATGACTTCAAATAAATTCCATTCTCATCCATCATCACCAACCAATCATGTGGTTTGATGAAATTTATGGAATAATAACCTATTTTTAACAATTTTAAAACCACAATCACTATCTATGTAACATTTTCCAAATATATCATGAAAGTGCCAATTTTTGGAAGCTACAGGGGCCATTTATGAAATTTTGTCCTAAAAAAACTCTAAAATATTTTTTTAAAACATATAAAAACATTGAAAAAAAGGTATAAAAATGTATTTATAAAATATATTGAAATCTATAAATGTGTAATGATCAAATGATGATGTGAAATCAATGTGGAAAAATGTAAAGGTTCAGTTTTGAAAAAGAAGACTGGGTCAACGAAATAAAATGGGGAGACTGAAATTGACAATTCTATTGTTGAATTTTCTGTGATTAGTAGTTGATATATTTTTCTTATACCTTGTTATGTTTTTTCAATGGTTGTTAAAGTGTGGTGTTCATAATTTGTTGGAATCAAAATATTAAGAAGCTGATCATCATATTATAATCAGCATGATTACAATAGCTTATCATTTCTTTATCTTTATCTTTTTCTATTTGTTTTCCATTCCTTCTCTCTCATCAGTAACTAATAATATTTTAGCTGTGAATCAATCCCTCACTGGGAACCCTACTCCGAAAATCTTGAGTACACATCCTCGAATCACATCAGTGGCATACACCGCTCTCTCGTCAGCTATGGAGACTCGCAAAGGTCGATTCAACGCCTCACGAAAAATACTGATGTGCTGACTAAAGGCTAACAAAAAAGACCGACTCGCACCCGAGTCAAATAACACCAAAGCAGGCATAGAACATACAAAAATGTACCTACGCATATCATAATATAAGCATATCACCACAAACTCAAAATAAACATGAGAAAGAATACATACCAGGCACAATATCGGGCGAAGGGCGGACCTCCTCTGTGGTTAACTGGAAGACTCTCCCTCGTGCCTTCGGTGCCTCGGCCTTCACCGGCCGGCTCTCTGTAGCTCTGATAGTAGCAGGGGTAGATCCCTGAGATGCTCCCTGCGCTGACCCTCATAACTGCGGACACTTTGCCTTCCGGTGTCCGATCTGGTTGCAGTGGAAACAGACTGCAAACCCCTTGGGGCAATCCTTGGCCATATGTGTAACATCCAAAAAATTTCAACCAATTTTAAACTTTTCAAAAACAACCCAATTTCATTAATTCATTACAAAAAGGTTTTCAATACATTTATTATCAGAGTATTCCCATAATCATATCATAAAACAAGAACATGAGGAGCGGTACAATCACGCCTTCGCCTTGCCACGGTCTCCTGAAGTACCTGAAACATTTAAACCACAACTGTAAGCCCGAAAGCTTAGAGAGATACCCCCAAAATACCAACAACATATACCATACACATAACATATCATAACAGTGTTGGATTAGTGTCTAAGTCCATAACTATTTTGGTATGTACTTGACCCGATGATGCATGGTCCTTTTGGGTTGCCTTCACCAAAGCAACTTGATTGGAGAAATGAATAAAGAGAGAAAGGATAATATGATTTATTAATATGTTATAGGAATAATATATTAAAGGAGAAATCATATTTGTTTAATTAATATTGGTCAATAATTAATTAAGAATTAGTTTTGTGATCAAATGTAATTAATTAAACTAGAGGGGCTGATTTGTAATTATGTGATAGTTACAAAATAAGGTAAGGATTATCTTATTTATATGGTGGACGAATTTAAGGTTGGAAAGCCTTAGAATTCGAGTATGATAAGGATTCAAGGATTATCTTATTGGTTGCTTAATGGATAATCAACTAGATAAGGATAATGACTGAAACCCTATCTCTACACCTATATAAACACCCCTAGGGTCATGAATTCGTGTATCCCTTCCCAAGAGGTCCTAGATACGAATTCTAACCTCTCACCTCTCTCTTTATACCTTCTCCATTTGCTTATGGTGTTTGTAAGCCATTAGAGGAGTGACACTTGTGACTCTAAGCTTCCAAAGTCAATTCAAGGAGGAATTGGGATTGTTATTGCTACATAACAATCAAGGTATGTTCTTAAACCTAATTACATGTTAATATGATTACTTATGCTAGAATTAGGGTTTATAGTCTTGGATTCAAAGCATGTACAATAGAGAAACCTAGATCCAAGCATTAGGGTTTGTATGAGCACATAGGATGTCTTATGACCAAAACCCATCAGTGGTATCAGAGCCTAGCTTGGTTTCAATTGTATTGATGCATTGTATAACTGGAAAATCGTTTTTTGGGCTTTATGGCTGAGGAACTCGGCGAGTACCACAGTGTACTCGGCGAGTAGACCTCAACTCGGCGAGTACAGTGTGGTACTCGGCGAGTTCGAGCGTCAGATAATGCTTATCTCGGGATTTCTTGCTGTTTTTGCATTGGATAGTTACCTTATCATGTTAGATCAATATAAATCCGATTTTATGATATATATGACTATATTCTTGATCTAATTAAAGATAATTATCAATTAACAAGATAATTGTTTCCTTATAAGATAATTGATTAATTATTTTGAGTAAATTGATAAATTGTTTTGCAAGAAATCATTAAACAAATCAAATATGGATAATTATGTAATTAAATGTTAGTTTAGATTATTTGTTATTTGATCCTTGTTGTTATGAAAAGTTTCATATTTTCCCCTTTAGGTTTTATAGTTTAAATTTGAACCCAAAAGTTTTGAAGTTTTGAAATTTAAATAGTTAAAACCCTAATGTTTTGAAAAAGGTTTCAAAACTTGCCCTCAAGTTTTGGAATTTAAAAGTTGATTAAAAGGTTTAATTAGAAATGTTAAATTCTAAAACCCTAGTAATGTTTTGAAAAGTTCAAATCACACCCTTATGGTTTTATTAATTAATTAAGGAGTATAATTAAAAGAGGTTTAATAAATCCATAAAAGTTTAGGTTAACCTTTTAATTGAATTAAAAGTGTAATTGTTAAAGTTAACCATATATTTTAAAAGTATAAAATACACCCTATACTATATATAACATTAAAAGTCTAACATTATATATATGTATGAGTAAAAGTCAGTCTTACCGTTAGTAGGCCTCATTCACGAAGCTGGTCTATAAGGGGTGTTTAAGGAAATTGCCTATAAAATGGCGATTGAATGGGTATCCACTCTTACCCACCGCACTCTTGACTAGTGGAGGGTCGTTAGCCGAACGGGTAGGATAGGACGAAACCTTCCATTATAAGTATAATGAAATACAAAGTAACTAAATGTTTTTCAAATTCCCAATCTTAGTTACTTAGGCAAAAGTGAATTGATGCAATTCCATGAAATTACACTTTGTGCCCTTGCGAAGACGTTAGTGGAGCGTGTGTGGTTTACCGGCACACTAAATGGTTCTAAGCAAAGGTAGCAAAGGGTGACTCAATGTTTGTCATAGTTCGGTGGAGCGTGTGTGGTTTACCGGCACATCGAATAGGTGATTGTAACATGTGAGGGCACCATGTAGTTTGCATGGTTATTCACACCCGCTTTGTGATCCTCGGCATCCCAGTCACAAACAAGAGGGGCATATCGAGATTTAAACATGCCATTGAAATGTTCAATGAATCTCAAAGGATCTAGGAGTTTTCATAGATTTAAAACTTAAATTTCTTTTTCGTTTTTCATGGTGGAAATTAGTGAATCGTCATTCACTTACCTTCAAATGTTCTGCAATTTGGGTTACGGCATCCCTCTCCCGAGTTGTAGGATATTGTGTTGGGTCCTAGCCTTGGAATTTCATTTGGGTGATTTACCAAGGACTCAATCAATCAACTAACTTGAATTCGTTTTTCTCCCGATGTCAAAGTTCGACAACTATGGTCTTCTCAAATCCCGTGGAACAAGCATTCCACATGAAGATGATATTCCACGATTCGATCGAGGAACAAGAAATCATGCTTCACTTCCTCCTCCTCCTCCAATTATTCTCCCTAACCCACAAGATTGTAAAATTGAAAGGTTCAATATCACTCAAGCCCTTTTGGCAAGTAAACATAAAGAGGGCAAGTCGGTGTGTGCACACGTCTTAGGGATGAAGTCACACATTGATAGATTAAGAATGATGGGATCCGTTGTCGGTGAAGCGATGGCTGTTGATTGGGTTCTTCAGTCACTTCCTAACTCATATAGTGAGTTCGTAAGAGAGTACTATATGATGCACGACGTGACCCTTATAGATCTCACCTATATGCTTATTGCTGCTGAATCAGCAATGGTTTGGCGCAATAGAAAAGCAAAGTTGATTGGTGAATCTGCCTTCAAGACCTCTATGG